TGAGTTTACATGTCTTCCTACCTTGTTCCTTTCTTCTTCCGGTTCGCTCGCTCGTTCTCTCTCTCTCTCTCTCTCTCTCTCTCTCTCTCTCTCTCTCTCTCTCGCTCGCTCTCTCCATCTTTTTGCTTTTATGGGCGGCATGTCTTGTAGAATTGGAAGACGAGGAGGAGGGTGAACTACAAAGCAGAGATTTGCTGAAGCAGAGAGGGAGTGAGACACGGCGAGGCATAGAGAGAGAAGCATAGACCGTGGGAGAGAAAGGGTCTCTTGACTCTTAGCTTCCCCTTTCTCAAGTCCATATTAATTTTCTTTCTTGTGGAAAAGAAAGAGGAAAAGAGAAGAGAGAAGAGGAATTTACATGTTCTTCCTACCTTGTTCTTGTCCCTCCTTCTTCTCTCCCCCCTGACCCTGTCTCTTTTTCTCTCTATCTCCTCATTTTTCTGTTAAAGTGGTACGGGAAGGCGGATTGCCGGTCAAAATTTGCCGGGATCCCCTTGGCACTCTGCAAAAGTCCTGCAAATACCACACAAAACGGGAAAGGGGTAGGAACAACATTTGGGGGGGCAAAATCGCAAGCCCTGCTCCCTAAGATTTGGTCCCTAAGATGTTAGGTTCAAGTTTTCCTCCAAAAAGCCAAATCGCAAGCCCTGCTCTCCAAAATGTTGGGTTCAAGTTTTCCTCCAAAGAGACAAATCGCAAGCCCTGGTCCCTAAGATTGTGGGGTCATTCTTTGCTCCAACGAGTCAAATTCACAAGTCCTGGTACCTAAGATTTGGGGTGGCTCTTTGGAGGAAAACTTGAACCCACAATCTGCGGGACCAGGGCTTGCGATTTGACTCTTTGGAAGAAAACTTGAACCCAAGTTTTTCGGGACCAGGGCTTGCGATCTGGCTCTTTGGAGGAAAAATTGAACCCACCATCATATGGACCAGGGCTTGCGATTTGGCTTTTTGAAGCCAAAATCTTAGGGACCAGGGCTTGCGATGTGACTCTTTGGAGGAAAACTTGAACCGAACATTTTGGGGACCAGGGCTTGCGAACTGGCTCTTTGGGGGAAAACTTGAACCCAAAATTTGGGGACCAGGGCTTGCGATTTGACTGATTGGAGCAAAGAATGACCCCGCAATCTCAGGGACCAGGGCTTGCGATTTGGCTCTTTGGAGGAAAACTACTTGGAACCCACAATCTTAGGGACCAGGGCTTGCGATTTGGCTTTTTGGAGCAAAACTGGAACCCAAAATCTTAGGGGCCGGGGCTTGTGATTTGGCTCTTTGGAGGAAAACTTGAACCCCAAATCTTAGGGACCAAGGCTTCCGGTTTGCCCGCAATCTTAGGGACCAGATTTGGGTCTTTGGAGGAAAACTTGAACCCAAAATCTTAGGGACCAGAGCTTGCGATTTGGCTCTTTGGAGAAAGCTTGAACCCAGAATCTGCGGGACCAAGGCTTGCGATTTGGCTCTTTGGAGGAAGACTTGAACCCAAAATCTTAGGGACCAGGGCTTGTGATTTGGCTCTTTGGAAGAAAAATTGAACCCAAAATCTTAGGGACCAGGGCTTGTGATTTGTCTCTTTGGAAGAAAAATTGAACCCAAAATTTTGGGGACCAGGGCTTGCGATTTGGCTGTTTGGAGCAAAACATGACCCCACAATCTTAGGGACCAGGGCTTGCGCTTTGACTCTTTGGAGGAAAACTTGAACCCAAAATCTTAAGCACCAGGGCTTGCGATCTGACTTTTTGGAGGAAAACTTGAAGCCAAAGTTTCAGGGACCAGGGCTTGTCATTTGGCCTTTTGGAGCAAGACTTGAAGCCAAAGTTTTAGGGAGCAGGGCTTGCGATTTGGCGATTTTGGAGCAAAGCTTGAAGCCAAAGTTTTAGGGAGCAGGGCTTGCGATTTGGCTCTTTGATGTTCTTTGGAGCAAAACTTGAACTCAAAATCTTAGGGACCTGGGCTTGCGATTTGACTGTTTGGAGCAAAGAAATGACCCCACGAAACCTTGAAAGAAAAGGTGCTCTTTGTTCACTCTCACCTTTCGTTCGTTTCATTTTCTGAACGCTTTAATTTAAGTATGAATATCTAATGTAATATGTAAAGAGGGGTGTCCAAGTTTTTTTTGAGTGTTTCGGGTGTCCTTTTCCTTTTTTGTAGCGAAATATTAAATACACACCCGCACCGGAGATCTTGTTTTTGGAACCTTGAAAGAAAAGTGCTTCTTTGTCCTCTCTCACTTTCGTTCGTTTCATTCGGTATAAAGTAAACAATTTAGCATGTAGAAAAGGGTTGTCCAAGTTTTTTAGAGTGTTTCGGGTGTCCTTTTCTTCCTTTTCTGTAGCCACCCACCTTAACAGGACACCCACACCAGAGACTCCGATTTTGGAAACTTGAAGGAAAGGCGCTCCCCTTTTTCCACCGTTGCCTTCCTGTCGTTCCTTGCGCAAGAGGCAATAAAAGAAAGAAATGATGTTACATGTATCCAAAATTAGGGTGTCCTGTTTTTCTTTTCTGTAACAAGACCTACTTTTCACGGACACCCACACCGGAGACCTCCATTTTTTTGAACCCTTTGAAAGAAAGCGGGCCGAAGACTTAAGATTTTCTGTGCTCCCAAAAGACAAATCGCAAGCACCGTCTTCCTAAGACTTTGGAGAAGGGGATGCTCCCAAAACACGCCCCCCAAGATTTTGGCAAAATGTGCTCCCAAAAAGACAAGTCGCAGGCGCAGCCCTCCAAAAAAATTGGACAAGTTTATGCTCCCAATCAGTTTTTCTTGTTAAAGATGAGTTTACATGTCTTCCTACCTTGTTCCTTTCTTCTTCCGGTTCGCTCGCTCGTTCTCTATCTCTCTCTCTCTCTCTCTCTCTCTCTCTCGCTCGCTCTCTCCATCTTTTTGCTTTTATGGGCGGCATGTCTTGTAGAATTGGAAGACGAGGAGGAGGGTGAACTACAAAGCAGAGATTTGCTGAAGCAGAGAGGGAGTGAGACACGGCGAGGCATAGAGAGAGAAGCATAGACCGTGGGAGAGAAAGGGTCTCTTGACTCTTAGCTTCCCCTTTCTCAAGTCCATATTAATTTTCTTTCTTGTGGAAAAGAAAGAGGAAAAGAGAAGAGAGAAGAGGAATTTACAAGTTCTTCCTACCTTGTTCTTGTCCCTCCTTCTTCTCTCCCCCCTGACCCTGTCTCTTTTTCTCTCTATCTCCTCATTTTTCTGTTAAAGTGGTACGGGAAGGCGGAATGAGATGAAGGCAGCGTCCTCCCCTGGAGGCACCTGCCCACAAAAAAAGGAGCATCAGCTTCCAAGAGATTTGCAGAAGGAGAGAGGGAATGAGACAACGCAGGGCATGGAGAGAAGCGTAGACCGTGGGGGAGAGAGAGCGAGAGGGCCTCTTGGCTTTCCCCTTATCTCGTTCTCTGTTTAGACAAGAAAAAAAGGGAGTTTGCACCTTCTTCTCGCTCCTCACTCGTCTCTCTTCTCCACACCCCTCTCGCGCTCCTTTTTTTCCCCCTTTTTCAGCGGGCTTGAGGACAAGGGGTTTCCCCACGACCGCCCCACGCTGCACTCACTCTCTCTCTCTCTCTCTCTCTCTCTCTCTCGCTCTGTTTTTTCTTTCTTTTCTGAGAAGAACAGGAAGGGGTGGAAGCTGATGCTGGGTGCCTCCAGGGGGGGGACGTTGCCTTCCTCTCATTCGTACCACTTTAAAAAGAATGAGGAGATATAGAGAAGGAGTGACAGGGTCAGGGGGAGAGAAGCGGGAGGGACAAGAACAAGGTTAGAAGAGGCCATGATAGTACGACTTACGTGACAGCAGCGTGCCCTCGTGGGAACGTCAAGTTTTCCTCCAAAGAGCCAAATCAAGCCCTGGTCCCTAAGATATTGGGTTCAAGTTTTCTTCCAAAGAGCCAAATCGCAAGCCCTGGTCCCTAAGATTTTTGGGTTCAAGTTTTCTTCCAATCTAAGAACATGTCTGGCGACCCCGAAAAGACATAGACTCCCAGTTTCCCACGTGACAGCCTCGTACCCTCGTCGGAATGGGTTTGGTAATAACAAAACCCGAGTGCCAGCTTCCAAATAAACCCTATTAAGCCACCCCACCCCCCCCCCCCCCCCCCACTGCTTTTAAGCTGTGCAAGCATCATATGAATCTGTTTTGAAACCCATCATGCGATCATTGTCACTGTGTTTGCAAATGGGGGGGGAAACCCCCCCCCCCCCTTTGGCCGCGCAAGCTTGCCGCATGCGAACATAGTGTTTGCAAATGGGGGGGGGGGAGGTTGCACCCCACCCCAACCCCCCGCTTTTTTTTAGGCGCGCAAGCTTGCTTCAAAGCATGTGAACCTTTTTGAAACTCATTGTGTTGGCAAAGGGGGAGGGGCTGCGGCCCCCCCACCCCCCCCTTCCCCCGGCTGCGTTTAAGCCGCGCCTTCAAGGCATACAAGTTCTGCCCCCCCCCCCCCCCCCACAAACGCCCGCTTTTCTGAAGCCGTTTCAAAGCATATGATTCTTTTTGAAACCCATCATGCGATCACTGTCATTGCATTTGCAAATGGGGGAGGGCCCAACCCCCCCCTTTTTTAAGCCACGCAAGCTTGCTTCAAAGCATATGAATCTGTTTTGAAACCCATCATGCGATCATCGTGTTTGCAGCACCCAGACAGCTCGCAAACAGCTTTCTGGGCGTGGCTGACCTGTTTGCTGAATGTGTCCTGGATGCCTGCTGAATGTGGCAAGGGTGTTTGCTGACTGCAGCCCTCGTGTTTGCTGACTGCGGCCGTCGTGTTTGCTGGCTTTGGTTTGCTGAATGTGCCCCCTGTTTTCTCAATGTGCCACCCCCCCCCCATTCCGTTCGCATACATGCCATAAGAACTCACTTTCAACGCCCAGCCCGAAAGTTGATGGCATTCAATCTGAACCTTGGACCTACGACCTGAACCCATTGAAACCCAAACCCCTTAAACCCCTCAAAACAGCCTGTATAGCCGAAACCTCAAGACCCTAAAGCCAGCCTTGATCTCGTTGGGGAGAGCGTTCACGGTAGCTATCGTTGCTGACACGACGATGTCGCCAAAGACTTTCACGGCATTCCCCGCGAAACTCCCCACGGTCTCGCCCACCTCGAGGAGACCTGGCAAGTTTAGGGGCTTAGGCTATGAGGGAGCTTGGGCTTAAACAGGGCTTAAACCCTGGCACGAGTGTCACCGCCTCTCGTACAGGGTAGCAAATTGAAGCCCGACATGCTGGCAGTTGTGGTGCAAATGACACTTCCCAACTCTTGTTGTTTTTCGGACTCCACGCTAGGCGGGGGGTCCAGAAGAGGAACCGCCATGAAAGGACCATGTGAAGTTTGTGAGGTTTCGCTCTCTGGCTGCGCTACTTCCTTGAGTTTGCCTTACCCTAAACCTCAACCTTGGTCAAGGCGGAAGGGGTGGAACTGGGTATTACCATCCGAAATGAGCCAATACAAGCACTTTTTCTGCCAGCCTAAATACGCGTCCCCACCTTGAACTCTGCGCAAAATCCCCCGGAGAAAAACAGCAAGACATACACAATCGATATCAATCGATTTCTTTCTTGAGTTTGCCGGGGGGCTTTGGCCAAGATCCTTGAACGGCTCCGCAATATCGGCAAGATCGTCGATAAATTTGGAAGACACCACACTGTCCATCTCCTTCGCCCAAACCGGCTCGAAATCTACGGCGTTAAAGCTTCACCGTCCCCTCCCAAGAAAATGCGTCGATCATCCCCGCCCGAAAACGAATTCATGCGTGAGAAGTACATGAATTTAGTGTGTGTGGGATATGGTTTATCCAGGCCCGGAACTCAAACGCACGCATCTCAAAGCAGAGGCCTGCTTACGCAGTACGATTCTTGCCTGAGGGTTGCAGACGCTTCTGGATGCTTCTGGTATGCAAATGGGCAGGGACGAACTCTTGCAATTAAATTTAAGTCGATAGCATTCCCACTCACAAGAACGGGACGTCACTTCAGGATACTCTGCGGGATTCCCTCGGAATGGACACAGCGGGCACAGCGAGAGTGTGCTTTCAAGGGTACTCGGCGGGATTCCTTGCGCGATTCTTTGGCGCTGTGCACTCCAGGGATACTCGATGGGATTATTTGCCGAATTCTCCAGGGGCGGGCGCTCCTGTCCAACCCTCATTAAAAGGCAATGGACGTCTCTCATTCCTTTTGGGCGTGAATTCGTTTAGAATTGAATTCGTGCGTCATGCAATTCCTTACAGTTTCATTAATGAAACGAACGGACGGTTCTTTCATCTCAGTTGACACACCTTGACTGTGAGGAAGGGTCGCAAAGTGTGATGGGTGCTTCTGGAGAGTCTTGGTGCCAGGATATAGCTGTTTCTCGCCTCATGACTCAGATTGGCGACCAGTGGTGGAGAAAGAAGGTCTTGGCTGCAGATATGTCTATGTGGCTTCCGTGTACTGGCAGAAACAACTAGCCCTGAAAAACAATTCTGACGCTGCTTGTGTCTATGGCATGTCACAGTGCAGCCACATGCCCTGGAAAAGAAAAAGAGGACTGATGCACCTTTTTCCCAAACACACGCCGAGATCCGAGTGGTGGCAGATCAAAATTCGAGGGACCCCGGGCAGGCATAGCTCTGTCAGACAGGTCCGAAGACCGGTCGAAAATACGCCACCCCCCCCCCGGACTGATCCGAAGGGAGTATCACAACCCCCAATCCGGTCCGTGATTTCGAGGATAACAGTCATCAGGCCCCGAAATTCCGCGAGAAGCAGAGCTGTTCCCGTCGTCTCAAAAGGTCAGGAGAATTGTGAATGGCAATCGGCGCCTAAAGCAACCGTAGCACCCAGTCATCCCCAGTCTTAGGCGCAAGCCGTGGCACCTGAGGCAACCAAAGGTCAAGCTGGGCCAGATTTGAGGGCAAGCAGCTTGTCCAAGACCAGCCAATTCGGGGTCCAAGACACCGACACATCCTTCCTACGGCTGTGGGAGAAACCCTCGAAATTAATGGGTGAGCTGATCTGCCCACGTGTTTGAGCACCGCTTGACATGGGTGACGTGAGCGAAAACACCCCTATGAAACTCCTGGGCCGCGAGTTCCATCAGCAAGGCCGAGCAAGGCCACTTCTTAGAAGATCTCTTGCTGGCCGAATAGGCATTCCCCTCAAAGGTGTGCCTCAAGCATACTCGGTCCAATGGTCTCAGCCACCAGCAGGAAAAGGACCAAGGAACCTAAAAGCTCCAATGTCCCGATCCTACGCTTCACCGAGGTGTGGGCCAGCAATGCCTGAGCCCAGGGGGTCTTCTGGACATCCATGGAGAACCAAAAGACCTCACTCTTCGTAGACCACCAATGGCCACACGATTGTCGTCTTCCCCTGCGTCGCTGCTTCTATGGCAGGGGGAGTTCAACTGAAGGCGTAGAGGGATACAAGGACCCGCGTCGAGGATGGACAGGAAAAGAGTGGCAGCGGCCGGCATTTCCGTTCCAACTTTCCAACTTCTGTTCCCAAGCATAAAGGGGTTGTAGATGTGGGCTCACTTGTGAGCTTGCCACCGACCAAGACTTGGGAGGTGATTTCCTTCCTGATGTGAAGTTCGCCTGCCTCCAACTTCAGCGGTTCTGTTGCCCAAAACATCTTGTGCCAGGAAATCGGGCAGCCCACAAGGGTGAGGAAGAGCATCAGCGTAGCTGCTCCAAGGTCCGCAAGCTCCGCTTTCATTAGCGCCATGAAGTCGTCGACGAAGACTAGCAGTGACTAGCAGCCAGAGAAAGGTGTCGGAGACGTGGTAGGACAGGCGGGTGAGGATCGCTGCCAGGCGGCCCCAGTAGAGCTGAGCCGAGGCCACCCCATAAGTGCCGACCTTGTTGACCCAGTACTGGTGTTTTATCTTCGCCACGTACTTCCGATGCTTCTTGAGGACCTTAATCCTCCGGTGAGCTTAGCTGTCATCGGAATTGAAGAGCGTAAGGTCCAAGTCTCCAAGGTGGAGTTTGGCAAAGAGAAGATCATAAAGTGTGGGAGCTGTCCGTGTTGGCCCAGCCTTTTGCTCCGTCAAGGGACCTTCCACCACGTCAAGAAGTTTTCCCTCCACGAAGGTGGCCTCAATAGTGTCCTCGAAGACCTCTGCGCTCGGGTAGTTCTACGCCGTAGATGGTACAGGTGGTTCGAGATCACCGAAAAGTTCGCTCCTGTTTTGATGGCCAGATGTCAGGGTCTGCCAAGGTGGGACCATCCACTCCAAGTGGAGCTCCCTCGTATAGGTGTCGGTAAAGTCCTGTCAGGGTCGCCCGCCAGCTCCGCCAGGTCCACAGAGCCTGCAGGATGTCCAACGCGAAGGGCTGTCCAGAAGCAACCTTAAAGTCGTATCCGAATTTCAAGGACCCAATGGTCTGGCCAGCGGCGCCCGCAAGAATTGGTCTGGAGAGACTCTTGAAAAACCTCCTCTCAGAATCGGCGCCCCAAGGTGAGAACCTCCTCAATCCATTTGCCCAGCCAGGCAAGCTTACAGGACCCTCTGTCAGCAGGCTGGAGACGGCCCGGAAAGGGTTTCCCTCCACCATCCCGAAAAGCGTGAGCGGTGGCCAAGCCGAACTGTCAGAGTCCGAGCCTTCATGGGATTCAAAGCAGAGGCTACTGTCCGGTCCCAGTCCGAGTCCCGCAAGTCCGAAAAGAAGGACCATAACACCTCCGCGACTTCCCGCTTACTGCCAACGCTGCTAGACCACCATGTTGGGTGGCTCGGACGTCTGCACCTAAGGCCGTCCCACTCCAGACAGAGGTTGGTGAGAACCGAGGTGGGTTTTCTCGCACAGTGTCCGAGCAGCACGCACTGATCAAAGCGCTGTGTTTCATCACCATGAGGGGCATGTTTTGTGGGCCTCAGAACAGCCAAAATTGGCCGGGTCCTCTGCGGTGTTCCAAAAGGAACGCCACCCGCCTCAAGCGCCAGATGGTAGAGCAAAAGCATCCGAAGGAGCAAGGAGGAGATTCTCTTTCCGGGAACCAACTCGCAGGAGGGACCAGGTCCTGCAATTGGGGCCACGGTTCCCCGACAGCGCCAGATCACAAAGACCCGCGAACACCGTGTCATCGTCCCTGACATCATGTCTCGAGCAGAGAGGGCCAAAATTCCTCTCCAAGGAGGAGCAAGTCCAGAAGCCTCCTGGGGGCCCTGAACCCCGACGTTGCCCGCAAGTCGTGCTGTGTTTCCCCCGAGGAACGCATCCCGCCGGATGGTGGGGGATCGGCGCCTAAAGCAACCGTCCCTTTTTGGTCCGAGCAAAGCGGAGCCCGCGAATCGTGTTGCGCATCCCGCGAGGATCGCTTCCCACCACATGCCCGCAGAGAATCGGCGCCTAAAGCGACCGTCCCTTTGGCCCCTGGGTTGGAAGGGCTGGGATCTACGAAGGCAGAATGCATCGATTTCTCCTTCGCCCCCGAGATCGTCAGGGTTTCATCCTTGGCCATGTTGAGAGCCAAGGGTCGCCAGGCTTTCCTTTCTGCCGTCATCAAGACCGAAAAGGAAGGAGCTGGCTCTCGGCCCAAAATGGTGTCCCAAAAATGAAGTTGTAGAACTCATCCAAGTCGGACTTAGTGAGTTTGATGGATGAGGGTCCCGCGCAGGTAGCAACCACCATGAGGAGAGGTTCTCCAGATCACGAGGACCCGTTTCCGCTGTTTCTCGGTTTGGACTCGAACTTAACCTCGCCGTCCTTGGTGTGGTTTGCGACGATCTTGTTGAGGTCCAGCTGTGGGCCCGAGAGAAATTCCCCTCGGTAAAGAAGTCGCTTGAGGACCCCCAGCATGTGGCCAGAGCCTTCAAATTGGCGTTCCGGTTCCACCCCGAACTTTGCCATCTCCCCACGGCCGACCATCCTCAGCCGAGTGGATGTCCACCTCAGCCAGCTTCCTCTTCTTGAGCAACTTGAACTGTTCGATCGCGTTCTCTAGGCGTATGGAGGTAAGGACGCTGGTGTTGTCACCGTAGCCGTTCTGAGCAGGCTTGAAATCCAGCTTGGGGGCTTCTTTACGAAGTTCCCCTTCCTCCCATCGCCCAGCCCAGTCCTGGGCCGTAACAAAGCCTTGTTGGGGCATGACGTAGAGCACCAGCCAGGGGACCTGGTGCCTTGCAAGGACCAGCCTCATGTTCTCATCAATCTTCAAAACCTCCTGCTTGTTAACATCGGGGCAGGAGTCGTCTGGCGGACGGCAAACCGTCATCTTGCCAGCAACTTCTTCACGCGGCCTATCACCCATCACTGGTGCCGAGCTCCTGAGTCGGCCCACCTAGGAGCGGGAGGGCGGGCAAGAAAACAGGAATCCGACGTGTCTATGATCCAAAATGGCAGCACCCTCCCAGGCAGCCGTGACTGGGAGCCCTTCACTGCGCGGGCACCACCACGAACGGAAGGCTCGAAGGCGAATTTTTCGAGGACGACTGCCCACATAACCGAGCCAACGTTCTTAAAAGCAAGCTTGGCAGGCGGCCGCTCACGAAGAGGCTCGGATCACTATAGAATTCCTTGGACGTCGCGTCGGCATACGCGACGAGCTTGATCCTGTCCTCTCTCCTGAGCCAGTTCCACCTGGCAAGCGCAGTGCTGGAGATCTTCTGGCCCTTGATGGTTCCAACCTCCTCCGGCACCACCGAGTAGAACCTGCAAACAGCCTCCCACCATGGGTGTGAGCGGCTGAACAGATCAATAACGGACACCTCAGGCAACTCCTTTTGCAGGAAGACCACCTTGTCCTCCACCAAGGGAAAAACGGTGCTGGGGTCCTTGATGGTCCTTGGCATCATCCAACTGCTCCTGGATCCACGCTTGGAGGTGTTCAACATTCTCGTGTTCCACCAAGGTGTAATCAGCCAAGGTGCTGGTAACCGTTAGGGAAGGCGCCTTGTCAGCAACCACCCAGGAAGCAACCTGGGAATCCACAGCCATAGCTTCAGTCATCTGCACCAGAAGCAGCCACAGAGACCGCCGAAGAAGGAGCAGCCGATTCGACCGCCTCCATGTCAGAAACTTCCATAGGGACCTCTGGGAGGGACGAACGGTGCCTGAGGCAACCGCATCCACAACCCCATGAGGTGTACCTGCAGCAGCAGAGGCACGGGGCGAGGTCTCCAGGCGGCGGCGCTTTCGCAAATCATCCATGTCCAGAGCCAACTGCTGCAAGATGGGCTTGCCCTTGAGGAGGCCCACCGTGTTGGCTGCCCGCAAAGTCTCAACAACCCCAATGTTCATCACCTCAGTGTCCGACTGGTTTGTGATTTCTGCGATCAGGGTCGCGACATCTTCGATCACCAAATCATCTGCCGAAGTAGGCACTGCACGCGGGGGAGAAGCCATGACCAGCAACAGAACAAGAAAACAGGAATCCGAGAACAACAGCTCGAGGGAACAACAGTCCGCACCCCGACGTGTCAAAATGGCTACGGGGCAGGAGTCTGGTGGACGGCAAACCATCATCTTGCCAGCAACTTCTTCATGCGGCCTATCACCCATCACTGGCGCCGAGCTCCGAGTCGGCCCACCTAGGAGCGGGAGGGCGGGCAAGAAAACAGGAATCCGACCCCGACGACCATCCAAGGTGCCCTTGTGTGCCGACGCAGCTGGCTTGGCCCTATGACATGCGAGGTGATCAGTGCAAGCACGGATTCCTCTACAAGTGTCATGTGACCCTCTAAAATAAACCCCCCTCGCCCAACGATTTGTCACTTGTCCTGCTCGAGGCTCACCAAGCGGGAACGGGCATGGCCCGAAGTACCGTAGGCTCGAGCAATGAGAGCGTCCTGCTGTTCCTTCGCAGGGAGGCTACCATGACTGTATGTATTACTAGACATGCTGTGGCTGTACGTATGAGCATGCGGATAGTATGCTGATTACCGTGACAACTATGCATGACGCTTATGTCCTTTTTAATTCTCATGCCTGCTGCCTTTCGACTCACAGCTTGCGCCTCCAGCATTTTGACCTCGGTCTTGCGCCACACCTCCAGCCGGAGTTGTGCCCCACAGGTACTTGCCCCAAGCGTCCCCCCTTGGCCCCTTGATTAGGCTGATTTAGGGATTAGGCTGATTTAGCGTTGAGTAACAACAATAAGCCTCCAACAAAATGAAAAAGCGGAATGGCGATGAAAAACATGTTCGGCACGTGCCCGTTGATTGCCCTACTTCAGCCCTCACCTCCAAAACACACAGCCGCTTGTCGCGGGAGGATTTCGGCAGAGCCGACCCTTCTGTTTCAAGCCTTTGTCACGTAGTGTCCCCGCGGGGCCTGTACAAGCCGAACCTTTTGACTCACAACAATTCGGAGCTAGGGAAGCCTCTAGGCTCCTTACAGTCCACCAATACCTCACCTCGGCCTCTGAAGCAAGCAGAGGATCTGGTCTCCTTACCTGCCTGGGAACCCCCTCTGCGACACCCCTGCACCCCTCTGGCCCGCGACAGGCACGCTGGGCGAGTGGTCCCTGCTCCCTTCTTGTCGTTCTTGTCGCGTGGCAACAAGCACACGAGCACAAACAACAAAATTTTGCAGAGTCTGACATGGCAGGCCTTTACTGCTAATCAAAGCAGGGCTTCAGGATTTCTTCACTCCGGCGCAACCGAAAGCTTAAGTTATTGAGGCTCCGCTGTCTCTGGGCCACCAACCGAGTCGTTCCTCTGCAAAAAGGAGCTCTCCTCAAGGGCGCGCAGGTTCGGGGAAGCAGAAAACAAAAAAGCCCCAGAGTGCCAAAAAACCAAGGGGCCAAATCCTCGGGGCACTGCGCGTTGCTCGGCGAACCCGGCGTACCCGCCGGTGTAATGGATGTAGAGGATGAAAGCTGCACAAGAAAGATGGCCACAACAAGCCTGGGCTGTTCTACTGAAGCTTACAGGGAACATCAGTAAAATTAAAAATTCTACAAGCCGGAAACAACTCAAGTGCAATTTGCCTTTTTGCCACTTAGAGCCCTAAAGCAAATCCCAACCCGCCTAAACCAAATAAACCCCGTATACCAAGCTCTCCTTTGCATAGCTTTGCGCAGTGCAGCCCAGCAGCTTAAGCCACGTGGTTTTAAACCACGTGGTTGCAACCGTTGCAACCCTAGGCATCTTGTTCATTGCTCAGCCGGATTTTGCCGGCTGATTTGATCGTGAGCTTTCTCCCATTAAAACAATTAGAAAGCAAAACCTCGTTGAGCCGCCGTGCAAATGCTATTGTTGCGGGGTGAAGGGGAGGCGCACAACCTGCAACCCTACAAACCTGCAACCTGAAATGCCCTCCACAAGAATCGGTGTAGGAGTCCAGACTAGCACTGCGCCCAAAACAGAGGGGGCGCACCATGATAAAGGAACGGTTACGAGGTCTACGGAATCCACCGATGAGCCCTCTCTTGGTGCCCCTTAAGGCTCTCGAACCTTTTTGTGTAGGGTTCCCATTTGAAAAAGAAGGCTACTCTCTCCCAGTTAGTCAAGGGAGGCAAACCCAAAACACCGTAAATAAGGATGTGTTCGGCATGTTCGCCATGGAATGAACGTCATTAACCCCTCTCCGATGAGGATTTGTGACACTGCTACTGCCACTACGGAAGCATGTTACCATATGCTACCCAACCCTAACCTGGCAACCACGGGGCGGTCTGCACGCGTAGTTTGCACCCCGCCCACATTTTCAACGTTGTTGACGGGGAGGCAGGGCCATGCTCTTCGAGCGATGGGTCTTCCGAACTAAAAAATTGCCTCAACGCTGACCTGAGACATGCATGGGCTGCAAAGTTTGCGCTGGGCCCTTTGTCAGCACTTCCTGCAAGCGGCGAATATCTTCCTGGGATGGCTCTCTCAAAATTTGGGGTCCCGTTTTGCTTTCTGCATCATTTCCCAGAATCTTCACTCCTAATTTTGGAGCCGATTCCATCTAACTGGCAAGTTCAAGAAGTCAACAAACCTGAAAGCATGCACATAGGCAACATGTTCCACGCCCCTGCGTGTCCATGAGTGCGTGCATCCCATCAGTGAAACCTACCTAACCCTTAACGAAGCTCATTCAACCCTGAACCTTAAACCCTAAACCCTAAACAATGCCAAGCTTCGCACAGAGGCTTGCTCGGACTGTACTTGTCAGAAAGCGGCGAAAAGGTGCTGAACAACTCCTGGAAAGGAAGGGGGGGCTTAAGGCTGTTTTTTGCCACCACCTGCCCAGCTAGCAGCACTGCAGGGATACACTGCCTTAAGACCTAGGGTTTAAGCACCTAAGCGAGCCATAACGACAACAGTAAAAAGAGTAGGAAGAATGAGACTGATAAGAAAACAACAAGAACGGATTTTCTCTGGGGTTTCCATCTCTCCGTTCATGATGTTTCGCAGGATTTAGTAACAGATTGGTAACGTCATGAGTGGAGAGTTTTTAATTAAGGAACGCACGTAATGTAGTGACTGCGTGAAATTCAGTTTAAGAAGATGAAGGCGTATTTTCAATCACCTTATAAGTGAAGTGCATGAAAATTATACCAGCGAAGATTTCTGTTCGAACCAAACGATTCAAGTTGCTTGGAACCCGAGCGGGTTCAAGGAGCGGGTTTAATAAGGAGCAGCCGGAAGCCATATAGCAACTACGTTCTATCCGAGCAATGTTTCCAGCCGCGCGGCCCGCCAATCCGACTCAGCGAGCCATATACAGGGAGCCCACTACTATGGAGCCATGAAAGGGCCTGACGGAGCTGCAACCGGAAACTCACAAACGAAATCTCCATCAAAACTATTCAAAACTGATCACTATCTAGAGCTAGGACGATCGCAAATTGATGTATAGGTTTCGCAGGGGAAGCAGCAAGCATTGCGAAGGCACCATCGGTCATGCTTAAGATGTCCCCCACCTATCTCGCAACAGCTTGGTTTGGCTTTGTTACGCATTTTTGCTGCACTGACTGGCAGTGACTGCCAAACCATTTTCCCAAAAACATCTCGGATGTTGGGTTCTCGTTTAGGTTCAAAACGCGAGAGCGCGATACCGGGAATGGCGGCGCGGGGTGAAAGCGACTCGGGGATGAAAACGAAGCGGGGATGAGAACGAAACGGGCTGAAAGCGAAACGTGGATGAAAACGAAGCGGGAATGAGAACGATTGAGAACGAAACGGGGAGCCGCGGGGTGAAAACGAAACGGGGATGAAAACGAAAGGGGGATGGCGTGGGGATCAGAAGGGCCGGATGAGAACGAAACGGGTGAAAACGAAACGGGGATGGCGCGGCGCGGGAAGCGGAGGGATTTTCGTTGAATTGTAGTACAAATTGTAGTACTGGGAGGACAGAGCCGGAGGGGCGTGAGTGCGGGCTGCGGCGCGTACGGCGGCGCGGGAAGCTGAGGGAGTTTCGTTGAATTGTAGTACAAATGTAGTACTGGGAGGGGCGCGAGAGCGGACTGCGGCGCGTGCGACGGCGCGTGCAGCGGCGCGGGGAGCGGAGGGATTTTCGTTGAATTGTAGTACAGTTAACAGTGCTGAGAGGACAGAGCCGGAGGGGCGCGAGTGCGGACTGCGGCGCGTACGACGGCGCATACGGCGCGGGAAGCGGAGGGATGTTCGTTGATTTGTAGTACAAATATAGTACACATGGGAGGACAGAGCCGGAGGGGCGCGAGTGCGGACTGCGGCACGTACGACGGCGCAGGAAGCGGAGGGATTTTCGTTGAGTTGTAGCACAAATGTAGTGCTGGGAGGACAGAGCCGGAGGGGCGCGAGAGCGGACTGCGGCGCATACTGCGGCACGTACGGCGATGTGCACTGCGGCGCGGGAAGCTCAGGGATTCTCAAATGTCGAACTGGGAGGACACAGCCGGAGGGGCGCGAGAGCGGACTGCGGCGCGTACGACGGCACGTACGGCGATTTTCGTTGAATTGTAGTACAAATGCAGTACTGGGAGGACAGAGCCGGAGGGGCGCGAGAGCGGACTGCGGCGCGTACGGCGGCGCGGGAAGCTGAGGGAGTTTCGTTGAATTGTAGTACTTAATGTAGTACTGGGAGGGGCGCGAGAGCGGACTGCGGCGCGTACGATGGCGCGTATACTGCGTCGCAGAAGGGTGAGGGAGTTTCGTTGAAATGTAATACACATGTATAGTGCTGGGAGGACAGAGCCGGAGGGGCGCGAGAGCGGACTGCGGCGCGTACTGCGGAGGTACTGCGGCGCGGGAAGCTGAGGGATTGTCGTTGAATTGTATTATACAAA